ATAAAAGGTTGCAAATAGATACTGAAAAATATAATACACAATATAGGTGAAGGGAAAATTTTATATATTACAAAATATTTACAAAGGCACGATAAAACGGCCTCAAAATGAACAAAAAGTGTACAAAGAAAACGAAAAACGACCTAAGGCATCTCCGCCTAGTCTTCTCTAGAGCCCGACTCAGTATTGGAACCCTCGGGCTCATATATCTCTTTAGCTTCAGCCTCGAGCCTCTTGGCCTCTTCAATATCCTCGAGCGTCTCCCTATAGGATAGCTATTTTACGTACTTGACCTTTGTTGTTAAGCGGGCCTCGGCTATTTCCACGTCTTTTTAATATTGAGGCAGCATCTCCTCGACCTTGGAGGAATCGATAGAAGATGCCTCTAACTTAGACTTCAATGCAGTATACTAGGGTCGAGGTCATCCCATTTCGAAACGGCTGAACTCAGCTACGCTCGGAGCTCATCATTTAGCCGAGACCATTTGTCGACATTATCCTTTGTCACCCGGAGCAGGTACTTGACCGATGCAACCTCCTCTTTGGTAGCCTCCTTTTCCGAGACCAAAAGGTCCATCCCGCTCCTCAGTATCTCGGTCGAAGCTTTGAGCTCATTCATCTCTGCCCATAGTTGGTCGATCAGGTCTATCTTCTCTTGGACCTGCAAGGTTGCGTCGCTAGCTGCTACGCGTAACCTCTCATTTTTAATATCAAATATCCTTACCTTCTCAGACAGTTCGGCATGCTCCCGTTTCGCAGACGAAGCCTCCCTTTGAGCTTTCTCCAACTCAGCTTGGAGAATGGGGAGATCCATGAGGGCATCGTCTTTTTGCTCTTTAAGAGCTTTGTACATATCCTTTTGCCGGACTTGCTCCTTGAGCTCAAACTCGAGCTAGCTAACTTCCATCCGAGATCGATGTAAGCTTTCATGTGAAGCACCGAAGCCTAAAAAACAAATTAATGAAATCATGAAGATACTTGGAAGTTAAATGAGCTACGTAAAGGATACAAGGAAAGGGAAACTTACCTAGTTCAGCGCTTGTGCCTCGTTGAAGAGGCTCGGAGTGCTCACCTCATTCATCTTCGCATGATCCTCTTCGATCACCAAGCAACGAAGATAATTGGCCACAACAACCGATTCAGACAGCACTCGAGTATCAGACGGAATCGTAAACACGACCATTATTTTGCGGTCGGGATCCATGCTCGGAGCAGGGAACTTCTTCAGCAGCTTCGGGCTCGAGCTCGGCCCGCATGCTTCCGATGACACATCTTTTTTTAGGATCTCCAAGTCACAGAACCCGGAGTAATCCTCTAACGTGCTGATGTCTACACCGTCAAAGAAAAGGTTGAGGGCCTCGTCTACGGCCCGTACCATCTCGTTTGGTTTCTCCTTGATGGCCTAAGTCTCGTCGAATAAGGACTCTGTATAGGACGACGATTCCGTGATTTCAATGACACCGGCGATTCCCCTCGAAGCAGGGGTAGCTTCTCGGGAGATCGTAGCCATTGGTTTTCCTTCTGGCTCCCGAGCTAAAGAGTCATTGGCCTCTCAGTCACTTCCCCCGGGCGCCACCCGCTATTCTTCATCAGTGGTCGGCTCATGGGCGACGAACTCCAGGTCATTATCTTCAGGATAATCCCTGAGCCGGTAGAGGGAGTCGAGGTCCGGTACCTTGGCCTGGTACTCTTCTTATTGCTTTTTTGGACCCGGACCGCTACCCACTTCTTCTTGGCTTCGGCGTCCGGGGAATCCGAAGACTTTCTCTTTCTTCTCTACTCCTCTTTCTTTGCAACAACCTTAGACTGTCCCGAAGTGGAGGGTTTATCAGGTGAAGACGAAGTCTCGTCCTTGTCCAATGCCCCAAGCTTAGTGGTCTTGGGCAAACCTATGAAAGAAAGAAAGGGATTTAGAGAAAACAGTTGAATATGTTAGCAAGTTTGGTCGGGAAGAGCACTCACCATTGGAAAGAGCCTCCAACTCTCCCTTCGAGAGATTGAGCCATTCGCGCTCAAAATACGAAATCTGCGTGTAGATCCCCTCTACTCACTCTTTCAAGTGGGGGACTGCGTTGGGGACTCGGGAAACCACTACACGATGATAGAACCAAGCAATGAAGAAGAAGAATAAAAAATCCAAAAGAAATTCTAATTACTCGAAAGGGAGAAGAACTTACGAGCAATGTTCCACTTTTCAGGGAACGGTAGGAACTCGGATGGAATGAGATCCTCGGTTTTCACCCGAACGAATCTTCCCTGCCAGCCTCGATCCCTATCTTCGTCGATGCTCGATAAGGGAGCTTTCCTCGTCGGACGAACGAGCTTGATTAATCCCCTCGGAAGATTCGAGGACTGTAGAGACGAAGCAGATAGTCGAGGGTAAATCGGGGGTGCTCCGGTGTTATTAACGAAGTGGCGGAGGACCATCACGATCCTCCAAAAGGATAAGTAGATCAGTTCGAGGTAGACCTCGTATTTTTTGCAAAATTCGAGGGTTATGGGGTCCACGGGGGCAAGTGTAAAGGGGTATGTGTAAACTCTTAGATATCCCTCCACATGTGTGGTGATGTCATCATCAGGATCGGGGACAACCACTTCTTTGTCCTCCCATTTAGAGTGGATCGTATCCTCGGTGATGGATCATATGTACCTCCATACCTCCTTGCCTCGATTCTGTTGACTGGAGGCTTTTTCGTCCTTGAAGTTGTTTTAAATAGAGTAGCCTCCAGGGATGAAGTTCTTTAGGGGAGGTTCTAGGGCCACTTCAGGTACAGCCACCTTAACATTCGTGGATGGGTTAGAAGTTGAAGAGACGCTCTGCTGGAGCACATATTTCAAAGTCTTCTCCATCAAATTCTGGAAAATATGATGATTTGAAGATGCGGACAAATGTTTGAAGGTCAAACTTGAAGATTTAAGGGAAAGGCGAAGATTTGAAAATGGGAAGACGAAGATATGAAGATATATAAAATAATTAATGGAGATTTGAAGGGGTTGAGAACAAGTGAAAAGTTCGAGGGTAAATTAAGGAATTCTGGAATCGAAAAGTAAAAAAGTGAAAAAGGGACCAAAGCTTTTATAGAGAGGGGGTAATTAATGCGTGACATTTCGCATCCGAGGACAGTCAACCGACGGCTGACACGTGCCCGAAGTCAGAAAAACACGACTGATGGGACGTTTCATTGACCCGTCAACTCGGTTAATAACATATGGAAGAATGAACCGGGGTCAATTAATCGCTTCCCGTCGCTTCGATAAACCTGCTCTATGGAAAGCAAGGGGACTATCTGTGTACGTGTAAAATCTGGGGCAACTCCGATTCCCAGATAAAGAAACGGGAAGGGATCACGGTCCGACACAACTACAAGCAAGATCGAAGGATCCCTCGTATCAGAACTCGGAAGGAGTGAACGATGTATCTGAGATCGGGCACGGAGAAACAACGGACGCGGGCGAAGTAAAGTTTCGAGACCACGGGAAAAAGGAGGAACTGTTGGGCATGACAAGTAGGGAGCCGTAATATTCGCCCTCAACCGGATATTACAGCGCAAATCCCGCTCGATACCAACTGCGAATCAATATTTACCAAAAAAAGAAGATTTTTACCTTATTTAGACTTGTATTAGGAATGAAATTTTCCATACTATATAAAGGGAAGAATATTTTCATTTTGAGGAGACTATTGACACGTATATCAAAGCAATAAAAGTTGATTTTTGACTTTTAGTTATTCTTCAAAGTGTTCTTCATTATTCTCTTCTTTAATCGCAACCGAGCTTATATCGAGGATCCGGTTGAGGCCGAATTTCAGGGTTCAACTTAAGATCAGGCTTGATCGTCACGTCACGATTTGTTTGATTGTTCATTCTTTCTTTAATTTAATTACTTGTTGTTCTTAGATTATTCGTATTGACTTAAATCACGTATCCTCTAAACTGCATATAAATTTAATTGTTACTCATTTATAAGGGTAAACATACATATTATATATTAACCCTATATATAATATCGTTTATTTAGAAGAATATTTTGGAAAAAGAAAATATTATGTTTCATATACGGTGGGCAATTCAATGCTTGAGATGTGCATGGGGCATCTCTGAAGCCCATATTGGATGAATTAACTAACGCGTTAGATGCTTATAGCCACGTTTAAATACTCTCGCACCCTAAAACGACTTTCAGCCAGTCTCAGTTTTACCTTTTTAAACATTGGCACTAAACATTACTATAAAGAAGTACTTAAAAATAACAGTAATGCTGGGTATCACATTGTACTTATCACGGGACGAGGAGAGATCGGCCATACGGGCATTTGCACAAATAAAGTTTTTTGAGGTTACTATGTAGATTCTGTTTTTCATTAGTTTAGGAAGCTAAATATATCTACGAGGAGAACAATATCAATGATTTTAAGGACAAAATTTAGCTCATTAAGTTAATGAGGATATAAATTAAAGAGCAGCCTCAGGAAAGACCGGTGCAAATAATCCGCCGAGATAGGGCATAAGCCCCTCACAATAATCTAAGGGTGATTTGTACAAATAGAACACGTTGATGCTATTATAAATATTTTTAGCCACTAGCCCCATAGACAGTTCGAGTTTAACTAGTGTCTCCTTGCTTACTCTATGGGCAACACTTTGATTTGTGACATAAAAAGTTTGTCTATGGAGCAAGCGGGAGTTAAAAAATTAAAAGCATCCATTTTCAAAATCATTGGATGTAATTTCCTAATAATCTAGGAAAAATGATATTATATAGCCGCTCTCAAAATAATAGCTGAATATATATATATTTATTTATGTATGTTATATACAAAAATATGTAAATATTATATACTGTTACCGCTACGGAATATAAATAATTGGGACGGCGGACTAAAAGTAATATTTGCCCAATAATCTAAATGCTAAATGGCCCGGAATTCTAGTGAGCTGGACCGACCCAAAAACGGGTCCCGAATAACTTGATTCTCAAAGTCAAAGAATCCGATATACATCCTCCAGAAACTGTAGCTTTTTTTAGCTCATTACAGGTCTCTCTCTCTCTCTACCTTTTCTCTTCAAGAACTCTAATTTATACGAAAAACGCATTCAATAAATCCCAAGTCAAAATCAAACCACATACATAACAGAAACAAAAAAACGATGTCCTCCATAGGAGGACTAGAGCAGCAGGTGAGACAGTTAGAGGGGATATGCATAGCGTGCGGATCATACGCCGACCTCGTCGAGTATGACAAGGTTCTGAAGCTCTTGTTTGTTCCAGTATGGCGATGGCCAGGGAAAGAGCCGGTGATGTACTGCAGCAACTGCAAACTTTTCTTCCCTCAATCAGAGTCAGATACTGAGGACGATGTCCCTGACTGGTGTCAGTCCTGTAGCCACGAAGTGGATGCCGATTTAAGGTTTTGCCCCTCCTGTGGTGAAGTACTGTGAATTCTGATATGTATTAGGCGCTTCAGGCTTTGAAATCATCATATGTAGGTTTGTAAATTATGTTTTTGTACTAAGTGTGGGTTTGAGGACTAAATTTAAGTTTTTCTTTGTCTTTTTCTTTTTAGAAAGATTAAATTAGATAACTTCTTAATGATCTATTGTTAGCCTCGAAAAGAAAAAATTATTAGTAGTAAAATTACCTAGAAAATAAGTCCACAAAATCCTTTCTATAACAGCCTCTTTGTTCTACACCTACAACTAAATGATATTTTTTGACTTTTATAGTGAATGTCTGTTATACACCTATAACAATATTTGACGTTTAAATAATTTTTTTGCTATAAAGATTATCCAAAAATTAATTATTTTTTCTTTTTTAAGGTTACATATAAAAGATAAGAAAATTATTCAAATTTAAAATCTCAAAACTTATGTATAGTTACTAGTTAAATATCAAAGAAAGCTAATATATTATTAATAAATTCATAACAAAACGTATAAAGATTTAAACTCTAAGGCATACATTTTAAAGCTACATAGAAAAATAAATTCTTTCAAGGTTGATGGAAGAACTTTGTAATTGTAGCTTCTTTCGTAGATTTTATTCTCTTGCTAGCGATATAACACTTGAATCAGCTAAGGTTCATGTCCAAATTTTCAGCAAAAAGGTATCCAATAGCTTTCTCTTGAAGACAATCTAAGAGCTTAATACTCCCTCTGTTTCAATTTAGATGACATACTTTCCTTATTAGTCCGTTCAAAAAAGAATGACACATTTATATAGTTGGAATTAATTCAACTTTAAACTCTTCAATTAGCCTATTACGCTTAATAAGAAGCTTTTATAACTACACAAATGTCATGGCCCCACAAAGTTTTTACCCTTAAGCTTTTAAGAGCACAAGTTTCAAAAGTCTTTTTTTTTCTTCTTATACTCCATGCCGAGTCAAACTACCTCATCTAAATTGAAACGGAGGGAGTAGTTAATTTTTCTATCTAAATATTTTTGGAATTTATCCAATGGAAAAGATATCATGTGAAGATCTTTAAATGTTATATCTTATGCAAGATAGAAACTTGTTTAATGGAAAAAATTGTGTGCATATTAGTAGCATTATTATTAGTAATTTTAAAGATTCTATATGGTTGTTATAAAGGGGTAGTTTTACAAAGAACATTCCATTACAAATATGGATGTTGTTGTTATAGGTAAAAAGCTGTTATAGAGAGGTAAAATTGCAACGACCCGACCGGTCGTTTCGTGAGTTATAGCCCCGTTTCCCCCATTTATGCTTCCTTATGTGTTCTTCAGCTGTATTTCATCGTATTGTGTTGGTTGGTTCGGGTCCGGAGTGGTTTCGGTGTGGAATGAGACACTTAGTCTCCTATTTAGAAGTTTAAGTTGGAAAAGTCAACCGGATGTTGACTTATGAGTGAACGATCTCGGATTTGGACTTTTATGGTTCGGTTAGCTCCGTTAGGTTATTTTGGACTTAGGAGTGCGTCCGGAATGTAAATTGGAGGTCCGTGGTAGAATTAGGCTTGAATTGGCGAAATTGGAAATTTGGCGATTTTGGTTGGCAGTGGAAAATTTGATATCGGGGTCGGAATGAGATTTCGGAAACTTGAGTAGGTTCGTGGTGCCACTTGTGATTTGTGCAAAATTTCAGGTCATTCGTAGATGATTGACAAGTTTCGACGTTGTTTGTGGAATTTGAAAGTTTAGAAGTTCTTAGGCTTGAATCCGAGGGTAATCTGGTGTTTGATGTTGTTTTGAGTGTTCCGAAGGTTCGACTAAGTTTGAATGATGTTATGGGACGTTTTGGTATGTTTGGTTGAGGTCCCGAGGGCCTCGGGGGAGTTTCGGGTGGTTATCGGATTATTAGTTGGCTTTGAAAGTTGGCAGATCTCTGATATCTGGTATCTGGTCTTGGAAGTGCGGACCGTACAAAACTGGTGCAGACCGCAGAGGTGTTTTGTGGCCGCAGAGGAAATTATGCGAACCGCGGAGGTGTTGTGCGGCCGCGACAGAATTGTGCGGACCGCGGTGAGGAGTGTGCGGCCGCTGTAAGTTTTATGCGGACCGCGGAAGGAAATAGCTCAGGACCCGCGGAAGAATTTCGCGGACTGTACAATGAGGGTTCACAGAGCTATAAGCGAGGCTTAGGGTTTTATTTCACATCTTGGACTTTGGGAGCTCGGTTTAAGGCAATTTTTTAAAGGTTTTTCAAGAAATTCATCAGGGTAAGTGATTCTAACTCGATTTTGGCTAATATTCATGAATATACCATTGAATTCATCATTTGATTCGTGATTTGAAAATGGATTTTGGGTAAAATTTGTGAAGTTTCATGAAGGGGATTTTTGGGATTTGAAAGCCGATTCGAAGTCGGATTTGAGTGAAACTAGTATGGTTAGTCTCATAATCGAATGGGTTGTCAGATTGTGCGACTTTTGTCGGATTTCGAGACGTGGGCCCCGGGCCTAGATTTTGAGTTGACTTTTTAGCTTTTGACCTAAAGCTTAGCATTTTTTATGGGATTGATTCCTTTAGCTCATGTTAATTGTATAAAATTATTTATGGCTAGATTCGAGGCATTTGGAGGTCGGTTCGAGAAGCAAGGGCATCGCAGAGTAGAGATTTGATCGGTTTGAGGTAAGTAACGATTGTAAATCTAGTACTGAGGGTATGAAACCCCGGATTTCATATCGTTTTACTATTTTGAGGTGACGCACATGCTAGGTGACGGGCGTGTGGGCATGCACCGTTGGGGATTGTGACTTGGTCCGTCTCATAGCAACTATAAAGTTTCGTATTTGGTTGAAACTTTATGATACTTATGTGTTGTAGAAAGATTTTCTGTAAATTGGGCTGAATGCCATGTTTGGACCTTGTGCCAGAGCTGGTTGGACCCTTAGGGGCCTTTTTCTTACTACTCTCTCACTGTTTTCGATTAAAAATATATACTCGGTCATGTTATACTTATTGATTTCATAACTCAGTCTTCATTACTTTGTTTTGATACATATAAATGTTGTTTTGGGCTGAGTACCCTGTTTTACTAGAGAGCCCGAGTGGCTCGAGAGGTTTATGACTGAGTGAGGCCGAGGGACGGATTTGTGAGGATATTTATGGGATCGGGCTGCACGTCGCAACATGTTGTTACTGATTCGTGATTGAGTGAGGCCGATGGCCTGATTGATTTATGTCACGAGGTGGCTTGTTATAGCGCTTGGGCTGAAGGAGCCCCTCTGGAGTCTGAACACCCCCAGTGAGTGCGGGTACCCTGAGCGTGAGTGATAGTGAGGTATGCCCGAGGGGTTGTATACGAGTGACTGTGAGATTTGCCCGAGGGGCTGTACATGAGTGATGTTTGCCCGAGGGGCTGTCTATGATTTCATCATTTCTGCTCACTGTTGTACTGAGCCTTTGTTTGAGAACTGTTGAAAAATATCTTCAAATGATTTTACTGAAACTGAGTTTAAAAGAAATGATTTGATTCACACTCTGCTTTTAAAAGCCTGTTGTATTGTTACTGTGATTTCATGATATGAACTTTATATGTTTTATTGCTCGTCACTGCTTCTCAGCCTTTATTTACTTTGGTTACTTACTGAGTTGGCGTACTCACGTTACTCCCTGCACCTTGTGTGCAGATCCAGGCGTATCAGGACCCGGTAGCGGCTGTTGACTATTCCAGCTGTAGATTTTCTCGGAGTTAGCAAGGTAGCTACTGGCAATCGCAGTGCTGCTTCTTCTCCCTCCTATCTTCCTTAGATGTTTTGCAGTTACATTTCCAGACTGTGTTAGTCTCAGTATTATCGGACAGTTTTTTTAGTAGATGCTCATGACTAGTGACACCCCGATGTCGGGCTTTTCTTTCCGCACCTTTGCTATTCAGTGTTTTTTTATGAAGTTTTATTATTAAATAGCGTAAATTTATCTTTGAAAATTGAAATATCGAGCTGTTGTTGGTAAAGAGTCGGCTTGCCTAGTACCACGATAGGCGCCATCACGACATGGTAGTTTGGGTCGTGACAAAAATATAACTCAAAAAATTAATTGGGAGAAAAACTTGGCTTTTATAGTAAATGGTTGATTGGCATATTATACAGAGATATTATTATAGAGAGGTCTCACTGAATGTAATATAACTACATTCCCAATTAATTAGTGCCATTTTGATGGCATAAGAGCGAGCAATTTTTGTGCAAATAAAAGATTGATTATGTACGATACAAATGAATTTTACATTACCGCTACTCCTCTCACCCGGTCCATACTTGAGGTCCTTAATATTAGTAAAAATTGCACGGGGCGCCATATTTCGGCGCCCCTTTTTAACCTGTAGCCGCTTTGTCTTTCTGTTTGCACCCGTACGCACTTTTTAAAAAACTTTAGCTTCCCTTTCTCCTCCCCTTCTCCTTCTTCATTTTCTCATTGTCTGGAAACACAACTCCGTGAGGACTGAGGAATGATATGGTCATACCATTGATTAGAAAAAGGCACCAATTTTTATCCAACAAAAAAACAGCAACACGAAAAATCAAATATGTTGTAATATAGATAAAACATAGAAACCGTAAAGAAAATGGAGAAACTGATCATCAGCGATCAGAGATTCAAATGTTAAAAAGAAAAGTTTTCGAAAACGAAATAACATAACAACAAAGCATTTATTTTGCAATAAAAACAGAACGCAAAATCGGATGCATTAGATGATATTAGATGTAACTGTATCTTCTTGGTCCTGAGCTGAAGTTAATTAGACAAAAACTTCAGCTCTATAGCTGAAGTTTTTCAGTTACAACACAAAAACTTCAGCTCTAGAGCTGAAGTTTTCTAGTTACAACATAGAAACTTCAGCTCTAGAGCTGAAGTTTTCCGGTTACAAAGACAAAAACTTCCCGGTTACTAAACAAAAACTTATAAAATAAAACTTCAGCTCTAGAGCTAAAGTTTTTATTTTATAACTGGCAAACTTCAGCTCTAGAGCTGAAGTTTCCCGGTTACAAAGACAAAAAGTTTTTCAGTACAAAAGAAAAACTTCAGCTCTAGAGCTGAAGCTTTTATTTTATAACTGACAAACTTCAGCTCTAGAGCTGAAATTTTTATTTTATAACTGGCAAACTTCAGCCCGGTTACTAAACAAAAA